TGGCAGCCAAGAGGAAGGGGTTTGATGTGGTGGTGTTGGAGAAGGGAATGAGTGCAATAAGAGGTGAGGGGCAGTTCAGGGGTCCAATTCAGTTACAGAGCAATGCATTGGCTGCTTTGGAGGCCATTGATTTGGAGGTTGCTGAGAAGGTCATGCAAGCAGGGTGCGTCGTTGGTAATAAAATTAACGGCTTGCTGGATGGTATCTGTGGTTCTTGGTGAGTCTATGGATTCCATGTTCAAACTAGCTGCATGGTAATTGGTTTTTAACAGATGAAAAAACATGGTAAAATTGATTCCGAATTACCACTTTTTGCTTTATATTATGTTCTTACGTTATAAAGTAACTATAATGAATTGTCGATTAAGTTGACATATCATATAAAAGTATTTGCATATATTATGTTCTTACGTTATAAAGTAACTATAATGAATTGTCGATTAAGTTGACATATCATATAAAAGTATTTGCATATATTTTTGTAAGTTATTCACAAATTGAAGAAGATGATGCCTCAAAACTTACTTAGTCATCTATGGACACTACAAGAATTCACTATAACACTGACGAAAAACCATGTCGGAGAAAGAAAGAATCTGGTCGGTGAAACAAACTTTCCACTTGCATCACGTCGGTAATGGCTGCCTCGGTGAAGCCCGGCTCGGTAATTAAATCACCGACGTATATGAAAATGACGTCGGAAAACGCACTCACAATTACCGACAAAAAGCATCTTGCAAATAGGGAGCCGGAACAGTTAACCGGAAAACATCTCGGGTTCCACGTCGGTAAATTACCGACAAGCATAACGTCTGCACGTAAGGAGGAGCCTCGAGCCCTGCGCTTATCACCGACGAGCATCATGTCTGCCAATGCAGCGAAAATCGTTGCCCTGTTACTAAATCATCGACAAGATCTGTAATATCCCAAAATTTTGGGGTATTTTAGCATTAAATTGGGGACTTATTGGAGGGAAAATATTGTTTTGGGGCTTAATCGTAAAATTTTTAAAAGTGAGGGACTAAAAAGAAAGGAAATTAGGATAAGGATGAATTGCTTTTTCTTTTTCTTTTTCCTTTCTTTTCTTCCTCACCAGCCGCGTGTTTCTGCTTCTGCTTCCCCCCGATGTTCTGCCCCCCGACCCTCTGCACCCGAAAAGCTCCCCAACGACCGCCACCCATTTTCCGGCCGGAAATCCGGCAAAGCTTGGGGATTTCTCCCTATTTTCTTGTCTTAGAACACTTGTTGAACCTAGAAAATCCCAGATTTGCGTCTTCCTCCCTCTGCTGTCCGTCGGCTTCAACTTGTGGGTTTGAAATTTCTGGGCATTTTTCGGTAAGAACAGCCTTGAATCTCCCTTTTCTCTCTTGATTTAGGCTTGGGTTTACCTTGAATTGTGTTTTGGTTTTTGGATTGGGTAGCCGCG